GCCTATGCAGGGGGTCAGACTCGATGATCTATTGAGGTCCCTTCCGACCCTAGCATCTATGAATCTATGACACCCTAACGATAAGCTGCAATTCTAGGTTGAGAAAACATCCCTTGGTGCAGGGATTGTGGATGATATACTGCTGCCTGATGCCATCTTTACAAATCCCTGGTTTAAAAGGCAAATACAGAGGAAAGCTCTGATGGTAGGCTCTATGACTACGTAATGGACTATGTCATGTGATGGTAAGGCTCTATGTAAGGACTGCAGCATTGCTGGGATTTTGAGCAGCATTACTGGCACCTGGACCCCATGAGGGAGTCTCCCTCTAAGCAGTCGGCTCTGCGTTCTCCTTAGAATCAGAGGAAAGTCGGGCCAGAAGGGACTTCTGGAAGTCGTTCTAGTCCAGCCACCTGCCTGAGGCAGGATCACCCCTATCCAAATCATCCTGTACAAATCCTTGTTTAACCTATTATCAAAACAACGCAGTCAACTCTGTCATACAGCCACAAAGCAGAGCACCCTACCCTGCCATAGGTAGAGTAGGGGGACAAGGGTGGCCAGTGTGCTGCTGCTGTGAGGCTTATCAAAATCACTCAAGGTATCCAAGAAAGACAGCAACCCCCGCTTCCACTACCCCCTGGTCCATACCAATCTGACCATGGCGTAAAACTCCTTCTTCTGGTGAATCTACATTGCAAAGAATAGCGTTCTTCACTTTGGTTGGCCGACCCTAGTTAGCTAACCTAGGTTAAAATAGCAGTTTACACTATAGTTAGATGCTCAAGTTCAAAGCCAGGGTCCCTTGTAGTAGGCTTTAACTTGATCTTTTAATCAAAGTTGCCTTGCCTTTATTGCTATTTCAACCCAAGTAAGCTTAAGAACAAGCTTTTTTGTGGTGCAGACATACCCTTTGGAAAGAGAATCTCAGCCATGAAAGCATTAGCTGAATTTCACCAGACGTCTTTATGAGCAATACTTTATTGCAAGTTAGAGTTGGGGAAGATTTTATGACTATAAAAATTGCATTTTCTAAGGATCAAGCTAGGAATTTTAGAAATGTTCCTTAAAAGCAGTCTCAGGACTGGGAAACTAGAAGCAATTTAATAAAAAAGGTCTCTCCTCCCAGTCTCCTCCATCCTTCACCTTTTTTTGCCAACTTAAAAAAAATGCACATGCTTGTCTTCAGCTAGAAAGTGGACATATTCCATGTCATACTCCGCTCCATTGGCTTCCAATCACAGCATGGAACACAGAATTCAGAATGGCTACTGTATTTTCAACACTATATATTGGAACAAATTCCTGAATAGCCACAGTCTATTTCCAAGGGTTTGATGATTCATCAATAAATTGCTTCAGTTTGTATTCACAAAAAACAAAGGCTTGTATCCTTATTACCAGGGATCCTGGTTTTCCCTGATAAAAAAAATTGCAAATTTCTCTGATAAAAAAAATCATATATAAACACATAACCCTAACCGCCCCCCCCCCCACACATATATACAGGTATTAACTGAACACAATATTTTCTTGATATATTAACAATTTTAAAGCCATTTTAGACAATTTTGGAAGCCTAGTGCCTCAATCACTATAATAAAATAAATTCTAAATACCTATAAATTTTGGTATTTGATTTTGGGTTTATCATGGAAAAATCAGACATCCTTCCTCCTTAGCTCACAGAACACAGGCCCCTCACTGCTAAGCCACAGCCCCCCAGCCCTGCCAGTGCCCCTCACTGCAGCCCTACCCCACAGCTCCCTGGCCCTGCTGGTGCCTTTTACTCCCCACACCCACAGCTCTCTGCCCACTCCAGCCCTACCAGAGGGGCCCCCCAGCTGCCAGGGCTATGGAGCCAGGGACCCGGGTCCAGAGCCCCCTGACTCTCTGCAGCAGCCCCCAAGCCCCGGCTGGCACCCATGGGAGGTGGCGGCTGCTATAGTGGAGTGGAACTCAGAGGCTGGCACCCCCCTACTCCCTGCTGTCTGCAGGCTCGGGCAGAGTGGCGGGATGTATGGGGGGGGACTCCCCACTGCTGCATGCACTCCCAAGGAGCAGGGGGACCTGTGCCCCCTGATCTGTGCGTGGGGTAGGGGTAGGCTGCCCACTGTGGGCTCAGTCTCCCTGTTTTGCTGCCCTCCCCCAGGGCCATCTCAGCCCAGCGGGTGCAACCAGGCACAGCAGGGCAGAGTGAGGCTGCGTAGGGAAGCTCCTTGCTGCTGTGAGTTTTGCACTGCCCTGGTGAGGCATCCCCTGCCCACATGGCAGCAGTTAGGGGCACAATCCCCCACTGCTGCCATGTGGGCAGGGGATGCCTCGCCAGGGCAGCACAGAACTTGCAGTGGCAAGGGGCAACCCTGCGTAGCCCCGCTCTGCCCTGCCATGCCAATCACACCCAATGGGCTGAAGAACCCTGGGGTAGGACTGCAGGGTGGGGAGCCGAAGACCGTAGCAGACAGCCTGTGCTCAACCCCCGCCCCACACACAGATCTTGGGGGCAGGAGTCCCCCCTGCCCTATGCAAAGATCTTGGGGGCATGGGTCCCCCCTGCCCTCCCAGGAGTGCGTGCAGTGGCAGGGAGCCGGCCCCAACCCTCGAACAAGCTGTCTGTGGCCCCATCCCACCCCCCACTGGGGCCCTGCAGCTGTGTATTCCAGCCCCAGGCTCCAAGCCTCTCACACCCTCTGGCTGGGCAGCAGCCCCAGCCCCAGCCCTGCCCAACTCACTTCCTCCCTCCCTATGGGGGCTTCAATCTCCTCTCCCCACTTACCTGCAGGAGCTACTCCCCAGCCTGCCTGGCCATAGCCCCTGCCTGACCACCCTCCTCCCACTCCCTCGAGCCCCTTGCAGGCTGGAACTCTGCCAACCTGTAGACAGCTCTTTGCAAAAGTACAAATTCACAGGTGTCTACATTAAAATAAAAAATCCACATTTTTCCAGGTGAAAGGGAAAAATCCACATTTTTCTCCGTCTTCCTGTGGGAAATGGGAAACCCGGATCCCTGCTTATTACATAGTGCCATGGGCCTTATTTTTACATTTTCTCTACTCACTTTGGACAGACTCTTCTCTCTTTCAGGTCCCTGTTAATAGAAGGCTGCCTTCCCTTCTGCAGCTCCTCCTATCAGTATTTGTCAATTTTTCTTCTCAACCTCTAATGAGGCTCAGGAGTAAGAAAACAATTTTATCCTTCTCATGCCTTTCAATTCTTCTTTCCTTAGATTAATGGTTATTTCTCTAATTGTAGCATACAAATGCTGAAGAACGTGAAGAATTTACAGGAAAGATGATATGCGAGGCTATATTGGCCATTTTCATGTAGTGAGATAAAGAACATCTTTGACAACTTTAGTAGCACCGTGAATTGCTGTCTGATGACAGAGGTCTATTTCTGTAGCAAATTCATTGCTGTTTCAGACTATATGTTATACACAGTTGTCAAAGCAGGAACAAATGCACTTAAGCAGTCTTTATTTTTTATAAAACTTACTCTAGCCCAGTAGCGGAAAGCCAGTACCAGGGGAACAAGGACAGGCTCCAGTTTGCCAAGGGCAGCCAACAAGTCAGTTGTAAGACAGGCCACATCATTTCTAGCACTCACTTTACAAGTTAAACCACTGTAATTAAAAGAAATTTAAGAAAACAGTTTAAGTTCAGAATTGTATCTTGCAGGGAACAGACAGATTTTAAAAGACTGCAGATCTCACAATACCAAAAGCAAACAGTGAAATTCCCATATTACATAAAAGGCAGAAGGGGAGGGCAGGGTGGCACCTTAGAGACTGCCACCCTGTGTTACCTTCTGCCTGATTTCAGGATGACATGACTAACTGATGCATGAAAGCGATGGGTCATTTTAACAAGCACCCTGGTACCTATATAAACCCTCATTACTGAAGACTCAGGAATCAGATGTGGAACCAACCAAAATCTTTTCCTGTACAAGATGCAAAAATGTCACTGATGATTATTTTCTATGATCAGCTTTGCTTCTGATTAACTGTGGCCTTATTTAACTCACCTAAACTCCTCCTACACACATGAAGTAGAGCACAACTTATTTTTGCTCAGCAAACGGAGGCTGAAAATAAAAAGCGCAATAAAGTGCTAAATATTTTAATAATTAGTACTGTATCTGATATGTTAGAAAAGGGTAAGTATATGCATAAAACTGTACCCTAATAATGAGGAGGAATCTAGAGGTATACATTCTGGGGCTGAAATAGTGTATACATAGTTTTAGCCTACAGTGACTGTACCCCAGATATAAATCCCTGAGACTATCGACATCTGATGCAAGTCCTGTTAGACTGTCTCAGATATGGCCATCTTTTTTAACTCCTACAGAGATGCAGATGCACTCTTTCTTTCTCTTCTCTATTCTCAAGTTTCTGTATGCAAGCAGAAGACAGGGATACATTTTCTCTTTTTGTATTAGCCAGGCATGCTCTCTAGATCCTACCTTTATAAAAACCCTTTACAGTTCCTCCTGCTTTAGTCAAAAATACATTTTGCGGATTATGTATATAAGAAACGAAAGAGTCATATGTACACAAAGAAACATGTTGATTATACCACTGTGCATGCATTATGACCAAGATTTTGTAAAGTACTAATTAAATTGCATTTCACAGAGATTAAAATTAAATAAAACCTCGTCCATTCCTCAAAACAGCTGCCTTCAAATCTAGACAAAACTGTTGTGGGTATTGTCATCCTGAAAGATGCAAATCGCACAATTATTAAAGAAATATTGGTGACATCCAAACAATTTACTACTTATTAATAATATGTCTGGTTGAATGCAACACACACGGGAGACCCAGAAGAAATGCCAATACCTTTTTCTCTCTTTTCTCCACCTGAGCATTAAATACTACTGTGTATAGACGGAGCATCTGACTAAGAAAGATTAATATTTTTTGGCTTTGTGGAAGAAATAAACCTGCAGGAAGGATTTCACGAGAGGTGCAGGAAAGGCACCAACCAAGCAGAACTTGGACAAAACATAGTACCAAAAAACCTAGATTAAGCTACATGATATGCTAAAATGGTGCCTTGACTATCATCTCCGATGTGTGCTTTATTTGCTTCAGTTGTACTCTCTAGATTTATCCTCTCTCTCTCATGATAAATTTGTTCTGTTTTTCAAAATAGAAAGGCTTTGACTTTTCAGATTAAATGCAAAGAAACAAATCTGGTCAATTTGTTAAATCTCTCCTGTTTGTTTTATTTATTTTTTTTTAAATCGAAGAGTTGAGATGAGCTGGGTAAATCTTCTCAGGAAATTTCACCCTTCTTCCTTAAATTATTTTTTATTCTCTGTGGACACACGAACACTTGGAGCCCTTTCAAAACGGCAGCAGCTGGTAAATCTAACGTGTGAACAGGCTTAGACCAATTCAAATGCAGTAAACCCCACCAACTTTAACCCCAGATGAAGGAATGTTGGGCTAGAAATAGATGTTGCCGAATGAAGCGGATCAGCTGTGACACAATGCGTCATGGCACAGCTGATCTGTTTCACTGGGCAAAACACACACTGCCCTTTGTCCTGCCCTTGATGGTGCAGGGCAAGGGGCAATGTGATCTCCCCTAACTTTCCCTGCTCAGCCAAACCCCTGGCACCATCAAGGGCAGACCCTAAGAAGAGCGGGATTTTCCCCCGGCCAGCCACATCTGCAGAGACGCACCACAGAAGTAATAAACATCTGCCACAGTAAAGCAGCACAATCTGTTACCACCATTTATCACGCCACTGATTTTCCTTTCATGTGGTGTGACAAAGGGAACTGATGTCTATTTGCTCAGCATTTATGCTGCCATAAAAACCGTTATGGTGACAACATGAAGCATCAGGCAACATCTGTTTTTACCCTTAAAGTTGGAGGGGGTTTTACTGATTTGACTTGTTCTCAGCTTGTTCACACGTAACAATTAGAACATACCAGCTGCTGCCCTTCTGAAACAATACCTTGAAAGGGCTCCAAGCATCCTTACAAAGTATCACCTACAACGTGCTAGCACCTTATACACGTGTAAGGAGAAGACAGTCCTTGCCCCAGAGTGTTTACTCCTTTGGAGCAGCAATCGGGTATTTCCTGTCCTAAATTGTTACTGTGCACCATTGAACTGGAGCTACATTTCATTTTGTAGGTAGCTGTATTTCAGCAGTTGGCAAAGTTGCCCCCCACATCTCTCTTTCTACCTCTCCCAGGGGTTATAAAGCTTAATGTTTCCAAATGCTTTAAGATCCTTAGACTGCATGGTTGGAATAAGTTTTAAGTATCACCTAAGAATGAGTGTCTCTGTTCCTTGTTTAAAGGGATAATACTACCAAGACTCCCACATCTAACATATTAGTGAATCTGAGTTACATCTAGTGTGAAGATAAAGTTCACTTTTCTTTCCAATCTCTCTTCTTTTTAATTCCCTTTTCAACAGTAAGGGTAACTATTACAGTGATATATGCTGCTAGAAATTAAAGCAACCAGCTACCGTGAGGTATAAATAAAAGGCGGTATCATGTTAACGATCCTGTACTACACAAACCTTTTAACATCTTTGCAAAAAACAACAGGAACTTTGGCATGGAAATCTGACTCCACATCTGAGTAAATAGCTAAACAAGGAAAAGAAAAGAAATATGTTATATATATATATATAGTATCTTTCATAATTACCCCTAATTTTGTGTCCTACTACCTAGACTGAAATTAAGGGAATTTAGGAAATCTTTATGTTACAGGTGTCACGCGCCTAAACAGTAATCAATGCTATGATCACATATCCCATTAGAGGAGCTGCCATTAACTACCAAACATAGCAACTGTCACAACAGCAAGTCAAAGGCACATTGTTGGATAAGGTCACAAATTTCTTCAATGTTTTTGCTTTTGAGTTTTGTGACGCTGGTAAACGACACCCTTTTAAAGCAGTGGAAAGATTAAATGACAAGACCCTGTGCAAGTGTTTCTACCAAAAAACCCAATTATCTTCCTTACTATTACTTTGTTTCTCAAAATGTTGCTGTCAGTATCAATCCCACTGTAGGTATCATGAGCATCATACAAGACCAAGTCTTTTAAAAAGCCACATCTATTGGGGTTGCACATGTGATTTGAGCTTCTCTGCATTCATGTTTTTGTACAGGAACTGCAGGGCAGTCATGAAACTCTCTCAGATCCCTTGCTACTAAAAGCCTGGGGCCGCAAATGCATTGGTGGCGCCACATACCACACATTTAGATGTTCTTTGTGCTGTAACGGAGCGCTGTCCACATGTGTGCTGCTCCACTTTTTTTTTCCCCCCACGGGTTTTTTTGACCCCTGGATCCAGGGGCCAAAAAAACCTGTGGGGGGAAAAAAAAGTGAAGCAGTGCACAAACAGGCAGTGCACACCACTCAAAAGCAGAGCTGGCTGCCCAGAGCCATGCTGCGGCTGCTGGCCAGGCTCTGTGCAGCAGAATGACCACTGCTGCAGCCCCGGAAGATGTTTAGGTTGCCAGATAAGGCTGCTGGGGCCAGCTAAGTGCTGGCCCCAGCCTCCCCTAAACCACCCGGGCCAACTTGCCATGCGCCAAACCGTGCATTGCACAGGTGTTCCCCAGGGACAAGATGCAGCGGTGCAAAGTGTCCCCAGGGAACCAAACATCCATGCTTGTCTGGATGTGCCTTGTGATAGCAGAGAAATCCAAAAAAAACCCCCAAAAAACAAAACAAAACAAAACAACAAACCACAGATGAACGGGAAGTTGTAGGACCCACAGTGAAAAGAATATCTTAAAAAAAATACAGTCTCTGTAGAGTAAGTAATGAGTTTCAGCTGCATCAGTCAAACATCAATGGTACTAACATTCCTACAAACTTGGCAACTGTCACAACAGCAATTCAAAGGCATAACGGTTGATAAGGTCACCAATTTACTCGATGTTGTTGCTTTGAAGATTTCTTGACACCGATAAAGTCTGAAGCGAGCAAAGAATGTCACTTTAGCTGCAGTGGAACAAGCCTTTATGTGCAGCAGGGAAAGTACACCAGTCAGCTAATACAAGAAGATATACTGCCATCCATTTTGATCTTCTCTCTAATGAGATGGCCTGACCTTTGAAAAACTTAGCTATAACATGAATTAAAAAGGGAGATGAGCTGGACAGTTTGGTTCAGTCAGTGAATAACGTATTGTAAGAAAGGCAACGGTTTCTTACACATAAAATATTGTGTACGTTCACAATGTCCCAAATTTTTCTCCCGGTATAAAGTATGATTTTGGGAGGATGACAGATTAGTTGATGGTTGGTTTAACTTGGATGTTCCTGGGTTATTTTTCTCCTGCAATTGCCATTTTTTGCTCTGGGAGAAAAATCCTGAAGATCTGTACATTTGTGATGTCTCCTGGGATAACAGTGACTCTCCCAGGAGAAACTGAACGTCTGTACTTGGCTCTAGTCCTGAAGGGCCCCATTATTTTCCAATTTCTGAAACACTTTGCTCAATGACCTGTTTTATACAGCATGCAGAAAAGCAAGTGATAAGCAAGTTGGTGGGGAAATATTCCATTGTAGCAAGGATATTTTCCTTTAAAATATTTAAATAATCAAAAAAATAGAGATTAACAATTGTAGCCATGATATTATTGAAATGACAAATGACAGACAGTTTCATAGTTGGTAGGGTCAGAAGGGACCTGAGTAGATCATTAAGTCCGACCCCCTGCCATGGCAGGAAAAAGTACTGGGGTCAAACGATCCCAGAGAGGTGTTCATCCAGCCTCCTCTTAAAGACCCCCAGGGTAGGAGCCAGCACCACTTCTCTTGGAAGTTGGTTCCAGATCCTAGCCACCCTGACAGTGAAGTAACACCTCCTGATGTCTAGTCTGAATCTACCCTCTGCCAGCTTGTGACCGTTATTTCTAGTCACTCCTGGGAGCACTCGGGGGAACAGGGACTCCCCCAATACCTGCTGGTCCCCTCTGACTAGTTTGTAAACGGCCACTAGATCCCCCCTCAGCCTTCTCTTGTGGAGGCTGAACAGGTTCAGGTCCCTCAGCCTATCCTCATAGGGCCTTCCCTGCTGACCCCTGATCATGTGAGTGGTCCTCCTCTGGACCCTCTCCATGTTGTCCACATCCCTCCTGAAGTGCGGTGCCCAGAACTGGACGCAGTACTCCAACT